GATTTTCATAAGGTTTGGCTTTTTGTCCATGGTTTGGCCTCTAGATCAATTCTGCATCCAAATCTGGCAACATAATTTTTGGTCCAAATTCATGTCGAATTGGTGCCCTCAAATATCCTATATGGACATAGGTCAAAACTTCCCACCCCCATAACTTGGTCAAATCTCATCAGATTTTCATAAGGTTTGGCTTTTTGTCCATGGTTTGGCCTCATTATCAATTCTGCATCCAAATCTGGCAACATAATTTTTGGTCAAAATTCATACTAAATTGGTACCCTCAAGTATCCTATATGGACATAGGTCAAAACTTCCCACCCCCATAACTTGGTCAAATCTCATCAGATTTTCATAAGGTTTGGCTTTTTGTCCATGGTTTGGCCTCATTATCAATTCTGCATCCAAATCTGGCAACATAATTTTTGGTCAAAATTCATACTAAATTGGTACCCTCAAGTATCCTATATGGACATAGGTCAAAACTTCCCACCCCCATAACTTGGTCAAATCTCATCAGATTTTCATAAGGTTTGGCTTTTTGTCCATGGTTTGGCCTCTAGATCAATTCTGCATCCAAATCTGGCAACATAATTTTTGGTCCAAATTCATGTCGAATTGGTGCCCTCAAATATCCTATATGGACATAGGTCAAAACTTCCCACCCCCATAACTTGGTCAAATCTCATCAGATTTTCATAAGGTTTGGCTTTTTGTCCATGGTTTGGCCTCATTATCAATTCTGCATCCAAATCTGGCAACATAATTTTTGGTCAAAATTCATACTAAATTGGTACCCTCAAATATCCTATATGGACATAGGTCAAAACTTCCCACCCCCATAACTTGGTCAAATCTCATCAGATTTTCATAAGGCTTGGCTTTTTGTCCATGGTTTGGCCTCATTATCAATTCTGCATCCAAATCTGGCAACATAATTTTTGGTCAAAATTCATACTAAATTGGTACCCTCAAGTATCCTATATGGACATAGGTCAAAACTTCCCGCCCCCATAACTTGGTCAAATCTCATCAGATTTTCATAAGGTTTGGGTTTTTGTTCATGGTTTGGCCTCTAGATCAATTCTGCATCCAAACCTGGCAACATAATTTTTGGTCAAAATTCATGTTAAATTGGTGCCCTCAAATATCCTATATGGACATAGGTCAAAACTTCCAACCCCATAACTTGGTCAAATCTCATCAGATTTTCATAAGGTTTGACTTTTTGTTCATGGTTTGGCCTCATTATCAATTCTGCATCCAAATCTGGCAACATAATTTTTGGTCCAAATTCATGTCGAATTGGTGCCCACAAATATCCTATATGGACATAGGTCAAAACTTCCCACCCCCATAACTTGGTCAAATCTCATCAGATTTTCATAAGGTTTGACTTTTTGTTCATGGTTTGGCCTCATTATCAATTCTGCATCCAAATCTGGCAACATAATTTTTGGTCCAAATTCATGTCGAATTGGTGCCCACAAATATCTTATATGGACATAGGTCAAAACTTCCCACCCCCATAACTTGGTCAAATCTCATCAGATTTTCATAAGGTTTGGCTTTTTGTCCATGGTTTGGCCTCTAGATCAATTCTGCATCCAAATCTGGCAACATAATTTTTGGTCCAAATTCATGTCGAATTGGTGCCCTCAAATATCCTATATGGACATAGGTCAAAACTTCCCACCCCCATAACTTGGTCAAATCTCATCAGATTTTCATAAGGTTTGGCTTTTTGTCCATGGTTTGGCCTCTAGATCAATTCTGCATCCAAATATGGCAACATAATTTTTGGTCAAAATTCATGTCAAATTGGTACCCTCAAATATCCTATATGGACATAGGTCAAAACTTCCCACACCCATAACTTGGTCAAATCTCATCAGATTTTCATAAGGTTTGGCTTTTTGTCCATGGTTTGGCCTCATTATCAATTCTGCATCCAAATCTGGCAACATAATTTTTGGTCAAAATTCATACTAAATTGGTACCCTCAAATATCCTATATGGACATAGGTCAAAACTTCCCACCCCCATAACTTGGTCAAATCTCATCAGATTTTCATAAGGCTTGGCTTTTTGTCCATGGTTTGGCCTCATTATCAATTCTGCATCCAAATCTGGCAACATAATTTTTGGTCAAAATTCATACTAAATTGGTACCCTCAAGTATCCTATATGGACATAGGTCAAAACTTCCCGCCCCCATAACTTGGTCAAATCTCATCAGATTTTCATAAGGTTTGGGTTTTTGTTCATGGTTTGGCCTCTAGATCAATTCTGCATCCAAACCTGGCAACATAATTTTTGGTCAAAATTCATGTTAAATTGGTGCCCTCAAATATCCTATATGGACATAGGTCAAAACTTCCAACCCCATAACTTGGTCAAATCTCATCAGATTTTCATAAGGTTTGACTTTTTGTTCATGGTTTGGCCTCATTATCAATTCTGCATCCAAATCTGGCAACATAATTTTTGGTCCAAATTCATGTCGAATTGGTGCCCACAAATATCCTATATGGACATAGGTCAAAACTTCCCACCCCCATAACTTGGTCAAATCTCATCAGATTTTCATAAGGTTTGACTTTTTGTTCATGGTTTGGCCTCATTATCAATTCTGCATCCAAATCTGGCAACATAATTTTTGGTCCAAATTCATGTCGAATTGGTGCCCACAAATATCTTATATGGACATAGGTCAAAACTTCCCACCCCCATAACTTGGTCAAATCTCATCAGATTTTCATAAGGTTTGGCTTTTTGTCCATGGTTTGGCCTCTAGATCAATTCTGCATCCAAATCTGGCAACATAATTTTTGGTCCAAATTCATGTCGAATTGGTGCCCTCAAATATCCTATATGGACATAGGTCAAAACTTCCCACCCCCATAACTTGGTCAAATCTCATCAGATTTTCATAAGGTTTGGCTTTTTGTCCATGGTTTGGCCTCTAGATCAATTCTGCATCCAAATATGGCAACATAATTTTTGGTCAAAATTCATGTCAAATTGGTACCCTCAAATATCCTATATGGACATAGGTCAAAACTTCCCACACCCATAACTTGGTCAAATCTCATCAGATTTTCATAAGGTTTGGCTTTTTGTCCATGGTTTGGCCTCATTATCAATTCTGCATCCAAATCTGGCAACATAATTTTTGGTCAAAATTCATACTAAATTGGTACCCTCAAATATCCTATATGGACATAGGTCAAAACTTCCCACCCCCATAACTTGGTCAAATCTCATCAGATTTTCATAAGGTTTGACTTTTTGTCCATGGTTTGGCCTCTAGATCAATTCTGCATCCAAATCTGGCAACATAATTTTTGGTCAAAATTCATGTCAAATTGGTAACCTCAAATATCGTATATGGACATAGGTCAAAACTTCCCACCCCCATAACTTGGTCAAATCTCATCAGATTTTCATAAGGTTTGGCTTTTTGTTCATGGTTTGGCCTCATTATCAATTCTGCATCCAAATCTGGCAACATAATTTTTGGTCCAAATTCATGTCGAATTGGTGCCCTCAAATATCCTATATGGACATAGATCAAAACTTCCCACCCCCATAACTTGGTCAAATCTCATCAGATTTTCATAAGGTTTGGCTTTTTGTCCATGGTTTGGCCTCTAGATCAATTCTGCATCCAAATATGGCAACATAATTTTTGGTCAAAATACATGTCAAATTGGTACCCTCAAGTATCCTATATGGACATAGGTCAAAACTTCCCGTCCCCATAACTTGGTCAAATCTCATCAGATTTTCATAAGGTTTGGGTTTTTGTTCATGGTTTGGCCTCTAGATCAATTCTGCATCCAAACCTGGCAACATAATTTTTGGTCAAAATTCATGTCAAATTGGTGCCCTCAAATATCGTATATGGACATAGGTCAAAACTTCCCACCCCCATAACTTGGTCAAATCTCATCAGATTTTCATAAGGTTTGACTTTTTGTTCATGGTTTGGCTTCATTATCAATTCTGCATCCAAATCTGGCAACATAATTTTTGGTCCAAATTCATGTCGAATTGGTGCCCTCAAATATCCTATATGGACATAGATCAAAACTTCCCACCCCCATAACTTGGTCAAATCTCATCAGATTTTCATAAGGTTTGGCTTTTTGTCCATGGTTTGGCCTCTAGATCAATTCTGCATCCAAATATGGCAACATAATTTTTGGTCAAAATACATGTCAAATTGGTACCCTCAAGTATCCTATATGGACATAGGTCAAAACTTCCCGTCCCCATAACTTGGTCAAATCTCATCAGATTTTCATAAGGTTTGGGTTTTTGTTCATGGTTTGGCCTCTAGATCAATTCTGCATCCAAACCTGGCAACATAATTTTTGGTCAAAATTCATGTCAAATTGGTGCCCTCAAATATCGTATATGGACATAGGTCAAAACTTCCCACCCCCATAACTTGGTCAAATCTCATCAGATTTTCATAAGGTTTGACTTTTTGTTCATGGTTTGGCCTCTAGATCAATTCTGCATCCAAATCTGGCAACATAATTTTTGGTCCAAATTCATGTCGAATTGGTGCCCTCAAATATCCTATATGGACATAGGTCAAAACTTCCCACCCCCATAACTTGGTCAAATCTCATCAGATTTTCATAAGGCTTGGCTTTTTGTTCATGGTTTGGCTTCATTATCAATTCTGCATCCAAATCTGGCAACATAATATTTGGTCACAATTCATGTCAAAATGGCACCCTCAAATTCCTATATAGACATTGTCAAAACTTCTCACGCCTATAACTCGGTGATAACTCTATATGAATGTTGGATCTAAATCTGGTAACATTATTCTTGGTAAAATTTCATGTAAAAGCTTTTTACTACTTCTACTTCTACTTTTTCCTTTTTCTTCTTCGTTTTACTTCTCCCTTTTACTCCTCTTATCTTCTTTCTCCATAAGTACTATTGCAACTTGCACTTAAATCTAATATACTTGCATTACCCACCTTGGGCAGTGGCTTGCTTGGACCCACTTGCAGGCCGCCCACCTCCACTACATTCGCCGCATAGGGCCGTGAACCCGTGAGTGCGTGGTGCTGATTGATAAGCATGAGACTCGTGTTCTTCACAATCTCATTAATCGGTGGCAGGCCGAAGCCAAAGCGTTGGCTGATCATCGCATCTGTGGCTGGTTGTGTTATAAAGCTGACAATGAGATAGGTTCAAAATGTAAATAAAGGAAAGCAAGAAATAACAGCTGCATTCGGCACGCCGAATATTAAATACTCTTAAAAAAATAGCCGGAGAGTTTGATTAGGTGACGTTTTAACTCTTGTTCGATTTGCATCTAACTTATTTTTTAAGCTATAAAAAAGAACTTACTGAATTCGTGTTTCAGCGAAATTTCACTTGTAACAGTGAAAAATTGGCGGAAAACGATTGTACAAAAGTTTTTTGTTTACCTTCCGATCGGTCTCAGATTCATTTTCCCGCTGGTATATTATATTTTAAAATATGTTTTCAAATATTTATATTCTCTTCAATTTATTAATTTTTCTAATTCTTTGTATCTGTTTTTCAGTTAATGCAAAAAAGGAAGTGTGCCAAGCTGTGCTTTTACATTTTTTTCTATTTTTTTTCTGTGTATAAGTGTGTTTCCTCTTTTGGGATAAATAGTTAATTTGATTTTAAAGAAGCTGTATAAAATTAATAATTTAGTATTTTTTTTAAATTTTTTTTCCTGTGATTTTTTTTCTGTGTTTAATTGTGCTGCCTCTTTTGGGAGAAAATGTTTAATTTTTTATAGGAAGGAAAAAGTGTTTAAGTTCATAAAGGAAAAAGTGTTTAAGTTCATAGTTTAATATTTTTTTCTAATTTTTTTTCTGTGAGCAATAAAAATGTTTAAGTGTGTTCCTGTTTCAAGCTTTGAAAATTGAATATAAAAAGGTAAGTGCATAAATTTCTTAATTAATTTAATTTGAAAACTATAAAAGTCTGATATAAAATCGAAAATTGCTGTTGAATTTGAACTGGCGAGTTTTGTTGTTAATGTTTTTCAACAAACTCTGACAAATATCCGATTTTGACTCTGACTCGAGTAGTATATATATGAGTTGTAAAGTAAGATATCTTGAGAAACAAAGAGTTTCCTATAAAGGAACTTAATTCTTGACCGATTCGTCCCGTATGATATAGGGTCTAAATCGGCCGATTCCGATATATGTAATGCCTGCAATCGAAAAGGGATCTATTCAAAGTTTCAGACGGACATGGCTATATCAACTCGGCTATGGATCGAGAATATATACATACTTTATAGGCTGGGATATGTCCTGTTTTTAGGCGTGACACATGTTATGATAAAAGTGAAATACCCTCCAAAAAAGGGTATGCTTACTTGTAGAGCGTGTTGACAATGTGAAAGTGAAAAAAGTTATTGAGACGCTCCACAAAGCTCATCTGATCCGTGTAGGTCAGAAAATTCATGGGCATGATGGAATTAATAAAGGGCGTGCCCATGCGCTTATAGTGCCAGGGCATAATGGCACAGCTGCTCAAGGCGATGACCGGAGCATCCAGCAGATGGGCCACCGCGGCCAGGCAATCATTGGAGAAGTGCTCCAATATGATGACATCGTAGCGCTGCGGCGAGCTAAGCAGCTGGGCAATCAGTGGCGAGTTCAAGGCCACACGGCAGGAGCGCAGTCCCCAATCGTGCAGCATGAAGAAGGTGGGCACCTTGAAGGGTTGCCCCAGCAGCCGATCCGACTGCCGCTCGAAGGTCTGCAGAAGAAGAAGGAGCGTTAGGTTGGGCGGCCAAGTCGTGGCCGAGTGGTGCCGCACCCACCTGCAGATCCACAAAGTCCGTGAGCAGCGACATGCCCTCGAATACGTAGTCCGTGTAATTGGCCATCGGCTGTTTCAGCGGAAAATAGCTGTACATGCTGACATTGTGACCCCGTTCGGCCAGCGCCACAAACATGGGCCGAAAGAAATCAAAGTGACTCTTGCCGGGATGTCCGAACAGGCCAAGTATCTGCGCCGACTCGACGCTCGAGGGGCACAGGGCCACACTCAGACCCAGTCCCAGCCAGACCATTAGCCGCAGCATGTTGCAGCCGCAGCAGCGAACGCTTAAACTTCAAGGTTCAAATACTTTTGATCGGCGATTTTTGCAAATTCAAAATTGCAATCTGTATGCCAAGATCGTGACCGGCATTTAAGCCACAATTGGTTTTCTCTCTCTCTATTGTTTTGTGGCAGTTGCAGTTGCAGTTGCAGTTAGTTTTTTTTTTGTTGTTTTAGTTTTAGCTTTTGTTGCAGTCGAGTCTCAAGTGTCCGCGGCTTAATTATGGCCGTGTGCTTAACGGGTTTTTAAATGCCATTTAGTGTATGCAAAATACATTGTCTGACAGTTCCTGAGTTCCAGCAAAACTTTGGAGCTGTTAACGTATGTTGACACTAGAAGAAATTAAATCAAAGAGCAATTAGCAAAGCAGCATTTAGTAAAAATTTTAAATTAATTATATGTTCGACTTAAGCGCAGTTGAGTAATTTATTTGGTGCTAGACGAAATTATCCGGCCTCGCACCGGGTCAAATGCACAATGTTCAAAATATAAATGCAGTTGCTTGTGTAATTCGCAACAGCTTCAGACATACAAAATCTATGCATTCGCTGCTGCTGGGTTTAAACTGGCGACCTCTCCCTTGTTAGTCCGACGCACCTGCTTTCTGCTGCTGGGTTTGAGCTGGCGACTTCTCCCTTGTTAGTCCGACACTTCTGCAAAAGCCGCACAGGCTCTAAACGACACTTTTGCATTACACTTATATGGCCATTGCCCCCATTGCATTCGCTTTTCCTCCAGTTGAACCAGCGACCTCTCGCTTATTAGTTCGACGCACCTGCACTTCATAGCGTTGAGCTTACACTGCTTTACAGTATATGGTTTAGTTGTATTTTTTAGACTCTGACAACAGGTCGCATTTGCTTTTACATGATTTGAAACAGCGATCTCTCACTTGTTAGTCAGGCACTTTTGCAGTTTAGCCCCTCAGACTCGTCGCAATTGCATCACACTTTGAACCAGCGATCTCTGGCTCTCTAGCCCTTACCTCTTATTCAGAACCTCTTTTAAATATAGAGATTATTGCAGTCTAAAGTGCTGGCACAAACTAACGAAAAAAATGAATAACTAAAATGTTATTGAGGTGGAAACAAATAAGTCCATAAAAATAATCTGAAATCGAATTAATCTCTTGTTAATATTTGAAAGGTTTAAGGCAGGGGCGTACGCTGGCAGGGGCAGTAGTGCACACCCCCTCCCCTGTCAGCACCTGATCATTGAATCAATCAAAAGAAAAACTAAAAGGTGGCCTCTTTTTGTCACTAAAAGGTCTTCTAAGCAAAACATTTTATTCAAATGTGTTCTTGAGCTTTGCCGCCTCTCGAATGAGAATTCTGCGTACCCCCTTGAAAGTCTAACTCATTTATAATCTAATCAAAACATTGAGCCCTAGGCGCACATATCGAAATAGTAAACACACAAACACATATCACACACACACATCACACACACAGACACACACACACACACATCACACACACACTCACAACAGCCAGCTGTGCACTTAAGGTACTTTTTTCTCCACACTTATTGAAATTTTCATTGTTAAATAACTTTTGCTTTTGTTTTGCGATCGTTTTACAATTTTCGGGACATATAGATGACATTCAAATATGTGTTTGTACAAAAAGATTGTAACTATATCTTTGTTTGTGAAATACAGGCTGAAGATATCTACGAACTATTTGCTATATGTGAACTAAAATGTCATATTTGGTAGACACAACTCTTTAAATCGTTCAGATTACAGATAGTATATAATATATATAGATACTTGGAATCATAATGTAATGTCCATATTTCTCATAAACCAACAGATCGTCACATTATAGACTCTGGTGTTGATTTCGATCACGAAAATATATATACTTTATAGAGCTCCCTTCATACATATTGCTCCCTTTTGCTTATTGTAATGATTTATTCTATCATCATTTTGCACTTGGCACGTGTCTTTAATAACTTTTAGCCATATTTATACAATTTTCTATTGTATTTAAATTTATAGTTTTTGTAAATTTAAGAAATATAGGAGCTCTTAGGTTTAGATAAAATTCCACAAACATTTTGCTAGCTGCCACTTCACACCTGAACTAGAAAAACCTTATCTAGTTCCGTTTGGTTCTTCCCGAATGAGACGAAATAATGAAATACAACTTGTCAGAGCCACGTTTCTAGACAAACTAAAACTCAGAAATCACAGCGAGTCGGCGATAACTGAAACCTCGACTCAATGCCAAGACGAATGGAGCTGAGACACCGCAAGTCAGAGTCTGCAGCCCTGCGGCAGAAGGGGCATGCGGCGCTGCACTTGCCACAAGCTCGGCAAATATCAAATATCAAATTCGATTACGTGCCACTTTATATATACTTTGTAAATTGCATATAGAATGAGGTAAATTATAAACAATTCAAGATTCACCAGTTAACTCTGTTAATTAAATTCGCGAACAATAGCTGCAATAGCAAATATTTTTAATATTAAAACGAAATTTTCAATTTTCTGATTTGTCAATATGCCTGGTTTTTTTATACCCTGAACCTATTAAAATTGGGTATAAGGGTAGATTGACTTTGTGCAAAATCCAAATGTATGTAACAGGCAGAAGGCAGCATCTCCGACCCCATAAAGTATATATATTCTTGATCAGCACCAATAGTCGAGTCGATTTAGCCATGTCCGTTTGTCTGTCTGTCCGTCTGTCCGTCCGTCCGTATGTATGAACGCAAGGATCTCCGAACCTATAAGAGCTAGAGACGTGAAATTTTAGATGATGCTCCTAGTCGATAATCGATAACTTGCTCCGTTTCCAAACAATCGATAAAAATCGATATCGATATCCTGTTTTTTGGGCAATTTTGGTAAATAATAACTAGCTCACCAAACTTGACATATAGTTTCTAAAATAGAATATATATATGCATTTGATGTTGGAAGAAGAGGGTTCAGGGTATCCCCTAGACGGGAAGTCCCGACTAGAACCTCTTACTTGTTATTTATTCATTTACATAAATGTGCATTAATTAACATTATTTTCTTTTTCCCTTTGTTTTCGCTAGAAGCTGGTTTAATTGTTTACAAACCAGATGCGACCCGTTAATGCAAACATTTAAAACAAATTATTTTTCTTCTACACTACAGTGGATACCTGCCAAACTAGTTGGCTCTGGAAAGTATTCAAAATTTGGTCAAAATTGGGTATTTCTGATTTAAAGACTAGTTTACTCTTCAGGAAACAATAACTATATGTACCATGTCGCAGCTTTCAGTTTTGCTCGGGCTGTGTTCGACATAAAAAAAATGGAAAAAATCTCAGAAACTCTAATATTTAACAATTATTATTTTAGATAATATTTGTATTATATTTCTTATAATATTTTGAATTTCAGTAAATACTTTGAGAATAGCCTTAAATCAACTAAAAGCGGACATGTATTTATTTTGGCCTACATAAATTTGACACACATAAACGAAATACACAGAATTGATATTTTTTCTCCAGTTTCCAGTTTGAATGCCCGCCCACTTTTTCTGTAACGCCCAAAGAAATGCCATAAATAAATTTTTAATTTTCGTTTCTGTCAAACGCACATTTCTCGCTGCATACCTTTGGGCTGTCAGTTAATCGCGTAACGCTCCTCACGACCTTTGAGCAAACGAATAATTCGTGAACTTCAGAGATTTTCGTCGAATGACAAAAACTTTAAGGGCGCAGAGGATTGAGGGGGGTGGGGGTTGCTGGGCTTATTAAAATTCACTTGGCTTGATAATGTGCCAAAATGGCGGGCGGACGGGCAATAATCATAACTTTTGAGATACTAATTTCAAAATGTTGCAGCCACGTATAAAATATCATTACGGAATGCAGGAATTCAGGGATTCGACTGTGGAGGCAAGTCGTAAAAATTAAGGAAATCACATTTAATTAGGAAAAATTTTCACGTTCCGCTCAATTAGCGCAAGGCAGTCACACAACTTGACTCGGAGACTTTTGGGAACTTTGGCTCTGGGTAAACTGGACGCTTGCCTCGGACGGTGTCAACAGCTGCGGGGCGCTTGACGGCTGACAAGGATGGCTGGGTGGGGGCAGGGTGGGGGGTTGGGTTGGTTGCGTGATGTTCAGGCAGGGTTCGAACACACCGAGAGAGCGACGTCTGGCAGGAAGTGTTGTGTTTATATTTGCGACACGTCATTAAATGCGCCTTAATTGTGAAAATTTTCACAAGCGAAAAGTGAAATGCCAAATGCAGGAAAATTTACGACACATTATCAAATCAAGTGTGGAAAAAGTTTTTTGGAAAATTACAACCAAACGTATCAACAGCTGTGTGTTAGTTGCACGGCCTTTGACTTTGCTCGATTTTCATGAAAATCTACTAAAAGAAATTCTTTAGTAGAGAGAAAGGTTTTAAGCTTCGACCGGGTTTTTACTCGTTATTGCAATTCAATCGAATCGAACCTTGAAGCGGTTTAGTGGGACATTAAAATGCCTAAACTAAAACTCAATCGAACTATGGACTATATAACTTTTTGCTTATAAATGCTTGCAGCTTTTTTTTTACATAAACATTCTCATCAAGGGGGGATTCTGCTTCGCTATCCCCACTTTATTTCTGGGAAATGCATTCTTGATTAACTCAGGTATTTATTGTCAGATCGTAATGCAATTTTTGGGGCCTTAAAATGAGTGCTTATCAAAGCGCAAGGCTATACATTTGTATTTTCTTCAATTTTGGGGGAAATGAATGAACATGGATATTTGAGATGGTGTCAAAAATGTGGAAATATTCCCAATCATTAAACTATATAAAAACCTACACACTTATTTTGGTGTATCTTATAATTATCCAGTTAAATATGTCGCAAAATTGTTATTTATCGTTGCAAAAAGATACTCTTTCTGCCTTTGGCGTACGAGAATGTGTATTTCTAATTATGTTCAAATTTTCATATCCATTTCTTATCCGAGAGAATGAAAAGCTCAAATATTAAATCAAGTTGATTTGTGGGAAAACATTTGTGGATAGAAAATGTATTGTATGAATTTTAAAGCAAACCCATCACAGACCATCCACAGAATAATTATTATATATACGCAGGCACAGATAGATGGAGATATCCTGTAGAGTATTTGCTGCTCTCACTAACACACATTTCCCACGACTATGTTATACCCTTTTCCTACGCACTTTACAGACACACCTTATTAAAACTCAGCCGGGTGTATCAATTTATTTTAACGTCTTTGGCATTTGGTTGCTTATTATGTTTGCACTCGCTCTTTTTTCCCTTTTTCCATTTTCCATTGCCGTTTTTTTTTTTTTTCAATTTTTCTTGGCTTTTGGTATTTGAGCTTTCTATTTGCTGATAAACGGCAATAAAATGGAATTTTAAATGATAGAAATCGCATTGAAAAGTCGCAGATAAGCTGAAAGGGTTACGGTTGGCGTGCGTGTTCCTATTGTGAAAAGTGGGCGGGGCACTTTGAACATTTTCCAGCCATTTACATTTAATAGAAGTGCATGAAAAGATAAGCGTGTGCGATTGTGTGCGTGTGCGAATGTGTGAAATTTATAACAAATCAATAAAATGACAATAGGTGCAAACTTTATCAATGGATTCCGGCGGGGAATGGGATGAGCGGGTGAGCCGGGGGACACCGCCCGGGAACGTCGTTCTATTGTGCTAAAACATTTGCCATTGATACAGAGAGGAAGAGTTCTGTATGGAGGGCGCATGCAACAAGGGGGCGGGCATTGGCCCAGGGGTAGCTCTGGTCGAAAAAGTTTGCGATAAACAATTTTTCGCACGGAAGTGCAATTTAAAGTGAATGCTTTCGGTTCCATGTCCTGAATATGCGGAAATTATACTGAGAAAGTTTCTAATACATTTGTTACCGCCAATCAATCGCTTTGGTCGCAAGGTGTTTACCCATTGCCCAGGGGTTAACTGTACAGGTGGGGCAGGTGTGTGGCTACGGCAAACAGATAGCAAACTTTTGCGTCAGCTAGACAAATTGCTAACTTGAGGACGGAGATATTGAAGTCTAAGTTTTGACTTTTTTAACTGGTAATATCGTTTCTGTAAAGGTTTTTAAGTCCGTTTCGTAGATTTTCAACGAAAGTATCCTACAAAGTAAATCAAAGGAGTCTATGGAAGATGAATACAAATAACGAAATTCCTGAATATAAGCTAAAATTCATATTAAATGTGAATATACAAATATGACAAGTAAATATGAATTATATCGTAGATAAAAAGGACTGAAGTCCTTTCAGATTATTCAGAATGAAAGTACCTTAAATCTATGGCAGATGAATAGGTCTGACAAAATTCCTGAATATAAGCTACAATTCATATTAAATAAATAATAACTAAAAACGAATATTAAATCTAAATACTAGTTTATATTCTGAAATATTCATAGATAATAAATAATATGAATTCCAGATTATGTATATTCTGGAATTTTATCAGATCTATATTCCATAGACCACTACCATCGACTGCTTCAGCCTTTCTTTTCGTACCCTTTCCTATTTCAATTGAAATTTAATAGAAATTTATGCCTTGTATAGTTTTTTCGCAAATTGAAAAAGGGTATATAAGATTTCTGTAATATCAATCAGACTTAACGCAGTTATTTAAAGTTTAAGTATAATCATATTTTTATTCCGTCGTCTGGTAGAGTATGCTAAATGCTTGGTCACGCCCACACTCATATTGCAAACATTATTAGATTTTAACATTTTAGTATATAATTGGTATTATTAAACCAGTGTTGGTAAGCACATACAATTTTTGGGTAGTTTAGGTTAATCGACTCTCTGCTTTGATTCGTGAGCCTGGTTTTTTCACAACCATGAACCCGGGTTTTGGCTTAAGCCTCTCTTTGCCATATATGTTCACAGATTGAATAAAACAAATTTGTTTTAAATTCTTAACTGCCCGTTCTACTGAAAATATTGCAAGCTGTGGATATTTTCATAAAGAACTTGCGGGCTAAATTTGAATTCTATTCAAAATGTTTTTAGATTAATGCAATGATTGTTTCTTGAGTTTTTTATATTTAACCAAAATATTATTGCAACAAATCAAGTTCCATTTAGGGTAACAAATTAATTGAAATTCCGAAATTAAACCGTTTCGAATTGTGCTGAGGTGTGCGTGGGCAGCATTCCACCTCGCTCACTTACCTGATGCAGGTGTCTTTAATTGACAGGCGCCAACTATTTATGGCCACGTCACGTGATCTATAAACGTGACGCCCACGGGCTGGCCCCAAACCAACGGCCAGATGCCGCCCTGATTTACACATAAGCTGCTTTTGACTTTCAGACATTTGGGAGTCTTCGGAGCAAAGGTGTCCTCCTATCGTCCTGCTATATCGATTAACAAACAAACTTCAGTGTGTGGAAGTCGATTGGAGCTGTTCTAGCTATTTCCGTGACAGTAATCAATTTATTTTTGGCAGTGCGCCGATTGCGTTTCCGTTCCTTGGAGTACCCACTGTTGGAACTGGCGCAGGTTGCAGTTGGCAGTGCCCAACTAGGAGATACCTTAATATACAAAAGGTATATTATTTTTAGTATGTAAATACTATACGAGAACTTGCATACCAAGTTTGCTGTGAATACATCTCATAGTTTTCAAGTTATCCTTAAGAAATCAGGGCTCAATATCGATATTTATCGATATTATGAAAATGGTAGGAGATATCGAATATATCGATATATCGGAAATGCCATCTTCTGCCTGTTACCTGCAACTGCAAATAACCAATATACCCTTTGTATTTTGAATGGGTTCAGGGTATGAAAAGTTGAACCTGTGTGCTTCTCGGGCTCGAGAAGTTTTTGGGCCCAGTTACGTTTCGTTTGGTTTTTGGCGCAGCGATTTCCGCCAAAATGTCGATAAATCATGTCCCGTCGCAGCATATAGTGAAAATGCCAGACAAGGATTGGGAATGGACGGGGGCATCGGCATGGGCATGAGACTGGGTATTGGGTATGGGCATTGTTGTGCATTGCATGGGCTGCGACAGATCCTTTCAGGATGTTGGCGTGATAGATAAGTTGACAGAAGGGTTATCGTCGCTGTCTGTGCGTCACGGCTTAATCAATCTTTCAATCTCCTCACTTTTTTCCATTTGGCAATTAATTAATTTGGGACTCAAAGCTGACGGCACGTGACCAGAAAAGTTGACTCCCTGCACGCAAGAGGCGTCCGCAGAGAGACGAAGAGGGGAAGCGAGAGAGAGGGCGAGGAGAGGGAGAGCGTTGCAGTGGCTGAGCCGGAGGGACGGCTCTTTAAAATCTCTCCAGTCCTTTGCATCCTTCGGGTCAAGTGCTGGAATTGATGTTTCGTTTATGATTTATCGTCAATTCCTTGGCCAGTCATCGTATCAGTTACCCCCGCGCCAAGCGAGGGCGGACCTCTAATGGCCAGCATATTGCACAGCAGCCATGCAAAAACCAAAAACTAAATTGAACTTGCGCTGGCTGCGGCTGGGCCTCCAGCTAGAGATGGGCGCGTGACACGAGGCACGCAGCACGAAACTTTGGCTCCTGCAAAATGATAACTTTCCTATTCTAGGCTGAGATTTGAACCGCAATTCTCCTTTGTTTATTGTTTCGCTCACTTGAACAATTATTCTTCTTATATATTGCATATATAGTATTAATTGTTTATTTATACTTCGTGTCACGAGTCACGCACCCATCACTAAATGGTAGATTGCTCTCGTCTCTCGTTGTTGTCGTCTTCATGCTGTCATAATCATCAGAAGAGAGCTTTCATCTATCCAAGTCTATCTTATGTATTGCATGCAGTATTCATCGTGTATTTATATCGTGTCATGAGTCACGCACCCATCACTAAATGGTAGATTGCTCTCGTCTCTCGTTGTCGTCGTCGTCATGCTGTCATAATCATCAGAAGAGAGAGCTTTCATCTATCCAAGTCTATCTTATATATTACATGCCGTATTCATCGTGTAGTTATATATCGTTTCACGAGTCACGCGCCCATCACTAAATGGCAGTTTGCTCTGAAAGCATCGTCGTCGTCATGCTGTCATAATCATCAGAAGACAGCATTCATCCATCCAGCCCGTTTTGCAACGCCCACATGTGCGGGGCCGCACCACCCGCGTCTACAGACATCTCCATCAACATGAAGCAACTCCAACTCCTCTGCAATCCTGATGTAATAACCATGTTTTCAGCTTGTAATGCGGCAGGGTAACAACAACAACAACAACAAGAATAACAACGGCAACACCATATTGCCAGGGCTGGCCTGGCCCATTAGATTGCGGGGGTTAAAGTCAAGTCCCGGCCAGGGGAGTTCGGGCAACGGCAACGGCAAGGCCAAGAGGGTCGCCGGGTTTTCGAGGGTGCAAGGGGCGCTACTTGTGAGCTGTGAGTTGTGAATTGTTTTTGATGTTAAATGTGTGATAATTTAATGACTGTCGACGCCTGACGCATCGCGGGACTCCGTCTCGAAATTGAGCAATAGGGCAAACAGCTCTCTAGCTCTCTATAAGAACGCAATCCTCACTTGAGCTGAGCGTTTAATTTACTGGAATAATAAAAACGTTTTTCGGGCATAAAATTCTGTGGCTGGATATGATTTGTGCACATTTCGATGTAACAGATTGTCTTTTAATGGCAGCAGCAGCTACCGTTCCATAATTTCTCACAGGGTTGTTTCCCAATTCCCCAACTCTCTCTACCGATACGATGATTAGCCACTTGGTTGGCTCTGGGAAAACTCTAGCCTAATGATACATAGCAGACGCGCAACATTGTAGAGCTATGCAAATCGTGAATCCGGTTTAATTTACGTTCATGTTTGTACATCTAATCTGCAATTACGTGTCTTGTCGCTAGGCCAACTTTTATTTTTATTCATTAATGCTGGAACCAGCTCGGCACCAGTTCCGATATTTATTTGCATACCTGACTTGTGCTTTTATATTTGCATAATATATAATTTTCCACGCTTTATATAAATTTCTTTAAGATGATGAGTAAGCTTCAGGTTGGATCTATGCAAATTGTTATTTTATTTAATTTATGTATTCGTTTGAGCTTAATGTTGGGCTCATAACTAAGTAAGTTAAGTTGATTTTGCTAAGAAGGGTGCTTCCTGTAAAAACCCGAATGTTTAGACATAAATAACATTAGTTAGCTACATCTTTTTGTCTCTATGCAACAGATCTGTTGAATCAAGGCCAAAGTCGAATAGGAACTGCAGGAACTTATCAGGAACTGATCCTTTAACCGAAACAGTTTTCGAAATTTGGATAAAAATTTATTAGTTTTTTGTATTTAAGAATAATAATGAGCCTATTTGATCGTTTCATCTAATAATAAACAATGTCAACCTTGATTTGAACCAGATTCTGGTTTGGACCCTAAACAGCATAATTTTTTTTTTCGGTTTGAAGCTCTGATATATGTACATAATTATATGGTTTTCATTTAATAGTGGTTTAATATAATTTAGGAATTTCATATGCGTTGCCTAGACAAGTTTTTTTTCTTCACATGTTCCTCGTTCTAAACCAGATCAAGAGGTGTTCAACTATTTTAAGCCCTATACGAGACTTGTTCATGCTCGGCTCAGACTAGAACTCAAACATATTTTAATCATGACACAACAAACACACATCATTTTCAAAAAGATGCTTATTTAAATGTATCGATAAGTTCACAGCGTCGATAAATTATATGCCTATCGACAACGAAGCAGAACATATCGGAATTCAATTCTTTCCCTGAAAAGCAAAAGATTTTTAAAATGTTGTCATATTTTTTTACTTGGGCAGAGCCAAGTCAATAATTTTTAAAAGATGATTGTTACAATTTATCGATAGGTTAACTGCATCGATAAATTGTTTGTCTATCGATAACAAAACTGAAGATCTCTGCACTTTTGAATTCAATTCATTCCCTTTAAAGCAAAAGTTTCTTAAAATTATTTGTTTACTTGGGCTGAGACAAGTCAAGCTATTTTTAAAGCCGCATTTCTTGTGGGAAATCGGCTCGGAGCTAATCAAAATTTATGTAAATCCGAGCGACTGTTTGGATTTTGATTTTGCACTAATGTAAAAATATGGCGAATGTGTGTGTGTGTGTGGAAAAAAACTGAATGTGAAATGTGCGAAATGTGGCCACGCGCACACACACCCACACACCCGCACACACACTCGCACATGTGATTTGCATGCGATGATAAAGTGGGCGCAGACAGCCGCAAACAATGAAAAATGTTTTTCAGCCGTCGGCTTTGGCGAGGGGAACATTTGCTAATAATTTAATTTGCCAGAGGAAAATCCAAAAAGAAAAAAAGAAACATATGAAAATTGTTTGCAGCGACACGTGACTGCGATTTATGAGTTAAAACAGGCGTCACAATTAATTTGATATATATATGAAATTATATATTTATGAAAAACATCATCGACAACATCATGAGGCTTAGCAGAAGTGCAGTGCATTGAACTGCTCCCGATTATTATTGACCATATTGTTGTATTTATAGGCAGCTGTATTGGCGGAGCCGGTTCCGTTTCCAGTTCCGGTTGTATTCACATTGAGCCTCGTGTTGCGCAAAAAACTATCGGCAGGACTTGTAGAGACGGCATATTTGCCGAGCTGCATATCCGTGCTGCGCATGGGGCTCAAATGCTTGGCTGGGATGGCCTTGCTGGCGGTGCGAGTTTGATGGACCATTTTGCAGAGAGGCTATTTAAAATTCGTTGCAGTTACAAAAAGTACAAGTGGCTGGATGTGACTGAAGTCAGGGCACGTTGGTTAGATGCGTTAGCACGGCAAATTCCAGACGATTGCCGCAGTTGCTGGTGCGAGATCCCTTTTTAGAGGAGAGATGCTTGGAGAGGCTGCAATAATAACAGAGATTTTTAAAAGCAAAAAAAACAAAGTAAATAATGGCTAATATTAAGCTTATTCTACTTTCTTGTGTGGCAAAAAAAAAATTGAACAAAAAAGATAAACAGGATTCTTTTCAGTTTCGAATTGGGCAAATTCTTAAAGTAATATAAAGATACTTGACTTTGGAATCGTTTTGACAACATTTGAGACACATTTGAAGACTTTTTTAAAAAATTGAAGCAAAGTTCTTAAGGAACATTCAGAAATTCTTGAAATTCCAAGAGATTATATTTGAAGTACTATTATGGAATCCATTGAAGAAACTTTAAGTCACATTTGCTTGACTTGAGCTGAACAAATCTTTTTTGAAGTTCTCTTCTACTTCTTTATTTTCGCTAGCTAAACTCACCTTAAATTATTTAAAAGCTTCGCTTTGGTGTCCGGTGTCCTCATTGACACATTTGCTTTGGCACCTCTTCACAAATATTTTGACTAGGTTTAGTTGATAAACTCTTAAAGTTGTTTGTTGCCTTTTTTTGCGTTTGGCTTAGGCCACGTTGCTTGCTGTTTGGGTTGTGTTTTGAAAGCGGCATTTGAGCGAGGCTTTTATACTCCGGCACTCCGGCGCTGATCTAGTTGGCAAATGCCGCATCATGCGGCCGGAGCGTGTTAGCCAAGTTGTTGTCGTGGTTGGCCGCCAAACAAGTTACGGCCAGACGCATATGCAAATCTCGGATTGTTTTGAAAACAGCCAAAAAACACAATCGCAGATCTCATCGCCATGCTATGCGTCAATGCTGCCCCACAACAGGTGAAACATTTCGCAAGCTACGTCATATTCCTGCAAGCGCCTAAACATTTGTGGAAAATAAACACGCTGGGAGTTCCCCACAAACTGAAAGTTTGGTAAACAAAATAGCTAGATTCTACGAGAACTGAGGCTTATTAAAATTTAGGTGCCTGCCAAGCTTGTAAGTACTTAATAATTGTCATTAAGTGCAATTGTTGTATAAAAACAATGTAGAATCGACTCGACTTAAGTAAAGTCAAGTTAGGCTTGAAACGAGTGTTAGTTAGCCTTAACACGCTAGAAGCATGCAGAATCATTTGTATAATTGTAGAAACGACTTGACTTAAATTAAGTTCAGTGCTCTTAAAACTAGTTTGTTTTTCAGCTTGCTTTCAATCTAAAAGCCTCTAAAAAAACGTTGTCACTTCTGACTTAATTCAACCAACTTTTTATTAAAATGAAACCCATTTAAATGTTTCCCATTTCCTATCTAATTAAGTCAAGTTACGCTTGAAACGAGCTAAAGTTAGGCTTAACAGGCTTTAAAGCATGCAGAATCAATTGTTTTCGAGTTTGCCTACAATCTGAACCAATTTTGCCTCTTACTTCAATTCAACCCACTTTTCATTTAAATGAAACCCATTTAAACATTTCCCATTTCTTTTTTAACCAAGTCAACTTACGCTTGAAACGAGCGTAAATTGTGCAACACAAGCTTAAATCAAGTATTTTTGACTAAGTTAAAAAAAAAACCGCATTTGTCAACAAACTATTTTTAGAAAATTAATTTCCAGCTCAAAGAATTTGGCCAAAATATTTGTCTTTAGCTGCAGCTGAAATGTTGATCTGTTTTTTGCTTTTCTTTTTTGCTGGGAACCTGTACCGTAGTGGAATATTTTGTGGGAACGACTGTCTGGGCACGTTGCCAAAATTAACAATTAAACAATAGATTAATTCATGTGTCTGGCTGAAATTTGCATACTGCAACATTTTGGCATTTAATGGTCTGGCTTCAAATTAGCCCCGATTCAATTTTCAAGCGAGAGTCAAGTGCAAATATTGACATTTAGGCGAGAGCAGCCCATTCGTACAACAATACCCAGTTTTTTTTTTTTGCTACAGTCAACGGCCGCATTTTATTTTATTAATCGATTTGTAGAACAAATAATATATACACATAGCATTTGTATAAAGTATTATAAAAACAATTACATTAATTTCATTCCCAGAAACTTGTTCACAGATGAGAACAGACGAGTTTGATAAATGATATATTTATATAATATACTCAATGGAGTCGGCGTTGCCTAATTAAGGGGCCAGTTGCAATATATCAATTAGCTTCAGTTTTGAGCAGGGCCCATTGTTAAATAGTTTCATATTTCTGGTTAAAGTTAGATATATGGGCTTACCTATATCGTATAACATAGGCATTTGCTGCGGTTAGCTCGAAACATTTATTTGCTTTTTTAAGATATCTTATTAAAGTCAGGAATGTTATTTAAACTCAAACCAATTTAAATAATATAGTTTACGTGTTGGCAATGTAAACTCGAGGATAGAACAATCTTAAAACTTAAAAAAGTTTTTTAAAGTAAAATTCTTTTTCATATTGCCTAAATGTACTCGAGAAGGGGATAATCGTGAATACTCATTCTGTAGCGGAATTCTTCTTTTTAGTTAATTTTTGAATGTCTTCAATCTCAATTATATGAAATCTATTTTGGAACATTTTCTTAATTAGCAACCTCTTGATATCCTCAGCAATGATCGTAAAAGAAGCCCAACCTAGAACTTAACATTAATATATAAATATATATATTTGACATTTATGGGATTGTTTATTGTAATGTATAGCACAGATCGGTCTACAGCTATATAATCGACAACAGCAGCGGATTTAAATACAAATACATTAAACTGGCAACAGGCTTTCATGTTGATTTCATGACCAAATTGGCTGATGCAATGCAACGGGCACTTTTCATCAGTCAGGCCCATGCATAATCTGGCGATATATAGACTCGCAAAAGGCACTCGATATACATATTCATATTATTCATGCGATGGCCATACGGCAGCCGAATGGAAATGCGACAGTGTTGAAAAACTGACAAAAGAAAAGAAAACAATGCTAAAATGTTAAGATAACTCATCTAAGCCGAGTTCCTCATAGAAATATGTACGCGAAACGAACCCTAGAGCCGGCCGGTGGCAAAAGCTGACGCACTAACTCGTACTACGTGAGTCTCGGCAGGTTCGGACAGTTGTCAACAGGCGGGACTGTGGAGGGGTCTTTTTTGGTTTTTTTTTATTGTATATCCTGTATTCAGTGAAGCTATCAGAGAGGGTATCATGATCGTGGAATAAATATGCGAATATAACTAGTATAAAGTTCGAGAATATTCTTAAATAAAGTAAAGTATCTTCTCGAACAATAATTTGGCAAAATTTTAGCTTTTGGTTTCACTCATTTTCCGCTTGTTTGTGTGAATGCTGCAAAATCGATAAACAACATGTTGCTCAATATCTTAATTGTAGTTAATAAGATTAGACTTAGATAAAGTTGAGCTGCACAAATAGATACCCTTTTTTTTTAGCAATTCATATGCTATTTGTTTTCGACTACAAGAAAAGCATTTCAAAAGTTGGCGAAATTCCAAAAAAAAAATATAGGAGTAAAATATTAAAAAATATATATGACTTTTATCGAAGCATGATCTTTAACATTTTAGAAATTTTCGAAAGATTGTACAAGAAATATGTGAGTTCTTTGAGTATAGAACCTATAGATCCTGCTACAGGGTATATTCTTGTCGCATATATATTTTGAGCTTGTTCTTTAGCTAAGCAAACATTTTCGTAATTAAGAGGAAATATTAAATTGACTTGAGTATAATTGGTTAGGTAATAACCTTGACCTTGCTACAGGGTATATGCTAGTCGTGCATGCTTGCCGCTTGTTTTCTGTTACGTTTTCTGACAAACCAGTTAGTTGGCACTCTAATTTGCATTGTCGTCGCCGACGACGACGTCGCTCAACGAGTTTTTGTCTGCGTCCGAGTCTGGGGCTCTGGGCTCTGGGTCTGATACACAGGGTCGGTGTCGTAGGGTTTGTGGGTGGTCGGCGGGGGGTGTGGGTAGCCGTTGTCGGGGGCTTTCTTTATTGCTCATGCGACACGTTGCCTTGCAGCTGCTTAGAACCGTAACGCTGAACATCGTGCTCTGCATTTTGTAGCAATCGCAGCAGTTGGCAGCAGTTCGCTTATTTAAGCCAGTTGCAGGCATCGTTAGAGGCTCAGTAGAAAGTTCCGAACAGAGGCGAACGTTGCATTCGATCCAAGCGCTTGGCAGTCATCTTTCACAATCCTTGCAAATAATAATAATAATATAATTTAATTTTCGATACCAATGTGCAAATTGCAAAAGTTTTGTGTCAATGCCAAAAATTAGCAAAACGGATACCAAAAACAAACTATTCAAACAATTAGGGTAAGTTCAGTGTTGTCTAACGTCGCAAGGCCAGCCAGCCAGCATTGAGGTTATGTTCGTTCACTTGCAGATTGGACAAAAGTCTGTCGTGCAGCAAAGGATCTCGCACGGGCAACTCGGCCAACAATAAGGAACTGAAAGTCTTGACGCTGCTGCAAACTGTGCCGTGAACTGTTGAACTTTGAACCTGAAGCTACACCAGCCAGCATTTAAAATCTTAAACGCGCAGCTCTGTGAAAATTGGAATTATAAATTGGCAAAAGAAAAGGCTAAACAATTGAACTCATCAAGAACCGAGAAGTCAGCCTAAGCAAACGCGGCAAAATGGTCTACACGGAACGCACCGATCTGTGCCTCTCGAGCAGCAAGGACAATGCCGGACAGGGCAAATCCCAGCCGAAGACGACATCCAGCCCCAGCTCCAGCTCGGGCGCCTGGAGCAGTCAGGCCTCCAGCGCCGAGAAATGGAAGTACAATAATATGGTCAAGGATAATCGCGATAAGTTCAATGGCATGCACTTCTCCTAATTCCCAACCTGTTTACGGGCAATGGGGCTTTATTTTTGGGGCTAATCAATTGCCTGCAACGTGATCGAGACTTATTGTTATATCTGGGCTCTATGGGTTAATTGTAGCTTAGTTGTAAGCCTGTTAATGATTGCAAATGTTAAATTATCTTGAGAGAATTAAAAAACAAAAAAATGCGCAAAACAATCAAACGAAGTGTTTTCAAGTTCCAATCATTAAAATTGAGGTTATGGTGACTCAACCTTCTAAAAACGTATTTTAAGTGGAATAAAAAAACAAATTCCAGTTTGTAATTTCAGTAAAAAACAGCCCTTGGCATTGTGTATTGTATTCAAGCCAAGTTTGTTTGCGTAAAATAATACCTTAAGGCATTATAAAGCTAATTTTATGTGCTCTGGTGCAAAAAAAGAATAAAGTGAGGTTAGACTGGGAGCAGCGTGTGTTGTTTGCCGCGTAGAAAGGCGAAAGCAGCTAAAAGTTGGTAAAAATAAGCAAAGAGAAACTAGTTTTAAATGATTCGTATTATAAGAAAGAGGCTAAACAACTTGTCTAGATGCATACTAAGTTCGAGTGAGTTGGCACGTTCGCCTAATTTTAGGTTAGTTCAAGCTGACTTTTTGCTTAAATTGGATGAGCGAGGCCAATATCGAAGCTATGCTCATTCAGGCAACTAATCAACCAGGATTCGATCTCAAATTCCAGGCTTGTTATGTTATGTCATGTTTGTTATGCCAAAATGTCATCAAAAGCAGCTGTGAGTTATGTTTCTATAAATAGTTTAAGTTCTAGTAGATTCTGATGAGGATGAATTTATTATTATAGCTCAATAACAATACATTCATCTTCATCTTCTTCATCTACATTTGTGTTAAAAGACAACTGAGTCAGCTAAAATACACGAGTACAGCTTGCACAGCTCGTTCGATAGTTGAACAGCGTCTGGTCACCCTAATATCAGTGTTGGTCAACGTATGCAATTAATCGATATTTTTTGAGATGAACTTTAATTTTGGCTAGCAGCATATTGAAATTAAATATTAAGCTTAAGCAAAATTATAATTCAAATGAAATTGTAAACTAAATATTAATTTCTTGACAAATTCTATATTTGTGCTATATCGTCCTTCAGCACCACCTCCCACTTTAATTTCGTATTGCGTTTATACAAATCAAACCGTGTCACCCTGATTGACCTTGCCACTTGACTTCATATCGCATCTATAACTGTCCATAAAACATTTGCATGAGCCGTGGCTATTACCGTGATTAGCTTAACTTATGCACGGCCAGAAGTTTGTGTTCCTCCCTGACCGGAACCTTGGGCAAAGTGCACTTAATACACATTAGCTACGCTTATTTGACAGACCCCGGACGCAGATATTGATGATGTCTGCCCGTCTTGACACCCTCAAACGCTCATCGCCCTCGACAGCAGCCGGCGCGTGCTCAGCACCGGGATCAAGTGTATCTCTGGCCGCTCAGGCATTACCGCAACGGATGTCGCTGGGTTGGATTAGAAGTGCGAAATTTTTGATAATTTTTCAATTGTATTGTTTGGCATTGGGCCAGATAGAGTAGAGGAGTCCATAGAGTCCTGGGAGCCAGTCGCTGGGTGTGAGCTGCGGTCGTCCTTTTTTCTGACACACGACTGCACAGGACACACGTGGCGCTGGCTATTAGAAGCGATTTCCTTTGCGCCGCTAATACAACATTTTCCATAGACTTCTACTTTTTTTTTTGAAATGTTGTGGCGTTTTCTTCCGGTTCGTCCTGGGTGAAAAGCTGTCACCGTGCGACACTTGCTGTGTCCTGCGTCTAATTGAAGCGCTTTATTTTCGATTTATGTTTCTATACATATATATTTTATATTTATTTTTATTTTTATTTTATTTTATTTTACTTTTTTTTTTTATTCAGTTTTCTCATGGCCCTGTAATTACTTTGTTTCCAAGCGCCGGGCGGTCGCTTCTTAATCCTGTCAGGTTGCCGGCATATTTCGGCTTCGGTGTTGGCATCTTCGTCACATTGCAATTAAAAGCGCACAGCAGGTGTGCCCCGAAAGTCCTTTGAACTTGTGCTATAAAATGTGAATGTGTCACTTGCAAGGATTCCGCAACTGGATGACGACGGACACGAGGACAGACGCCCGGCGCCCGGCGCCCGACGCCTGACTACTGTGATTTCTGATGCTATCCAAGTGAAAAGCAATTATCACGTCATTATCATAAGGAAACCCACAAACAGTTTTGTTTTTTGTTTTGAATACCCTGTAACTATGAGCAGCATGGGATACAATGAGTCGAGTCGATCTAGCCAAGTACGTTTAGCTATCTCTAGAAGAGCTTAGGAGAATTAAGGTTTGTGAAGGTTTATTTTTACTCAATTTCTCTAAAATCGATAAGCATCGATTTTCAATATCGATATGTACAATGACTATGGACTATACATTAGCATAAGGAAACATAAAACTATACTTGTTCTAGTTATTAGTTGCTAAAGAAGTTACTTCTTGTGTTTTTGATTCTATGCCCATCTGCATTCCTATCAAATGTCGATCGCAAGTTTTATAACAGCTAGAAACGATTAAGGGTTGTCGGCTTATACTCTTGTGTTATTTGTTACAATAGACAAATATCGATTCTTTTCATTGGTTTCTTGAGCTCATCTCGGGAACAATGAGGGCTGGAGGTCGTAATATCCTGAATATTCGATGCACTTCTTCGATATAAAGGTCCTGGTCCCTTCTTTCATCTCTTCCCGATAAACTGTTCGATTACATTGTAATCGATTAATATCGATACCCTGTTCGTTTATCTTTCTTCATTTTATACGGAAATTGAACTCAGGCACAGGGCGAGATATTATATATACTATATACTTAATGCCTTGTGTGCAGGGTATCTGTTAGTCCTGCATACACACACACACACACACACACTTACAGATATTTTTTAAATAGCTCGTGCCCTCGGGCCCTTGCGCCTAATAAAGTCCGGTCAAGCTAGTTCCCCGAAATGCTGGCAATTGATTCTCTTGCTGCCTGCGATGCCCCTTCTCTCTCCATTATCTGCCGCCGGCTTCCGTTGACAGACAACCCTTATTGTGAGTTAGCGATAACATCTTCCGACAACATGTCACATGCCACGTGGTGGAAAATTATGAATAATTTCCGTAACTTCTGTCGCAACGTCGCAACGTCGCAAAATCGCAGCTTGCAGTGAAAAAGGTGACAGGGCCATGCCCACCTTTGGCGAGAGGCGCCCCCTTCCCCTTCTTGTGCCAAGCGATTGCCGCGTGCCTGAAGTGTGGGGCGTGCCGTCAGATACGACTTCCGTCAGCCGCCGCGACAGATGTTTTTCTGCGGGAATGCAAACGCGGCTCGTCTCGCCTTCCCTTCCACTTCCACCCCCGCCCCCTTTCAGGTAATACCTCTGTGATTTTGGGAGTTGCAAAACAATTGCGTTTGGGCAATTTCTCAGCGCGGATGTCTCCGCCAGCAGTTTGTAAATTGTATTCGAATTGTTGTGAATAATGTGAATGTACTCGAACATTTTGTACGGGCGGGCGTTCACATTTGCCGAAAGATGTTTGGCGGGTTCTTCTTCTTCTTGTTGTTGTTGTTTTTGTTGTTGTTGGCAAGGTGTGACGCAGTTGCCAAACATCAAACAGACATAATCCAAAATTGATTCGGCCCCTTCCCGGCGCGATATTTGAATCAGAAATCAGGCAGACAACAATTGGGTTTAATGTGCATGTCACTTGATCGGTGGCAAGGTGCAACTGCAGCAGTCAAACGGAGCGTAAGGCTCCTTAATATAGGGCACACCTCGGCTCTTATATAGCACAATTTTAATTACATTTTGAATAAAGTATTTGAGTCGGGATTGCCCGCCTAGGGGCTGCATTGAGCAGCCTTAACAAATATTCCAGCTTCTTTCTGTACAATATATATATATATATATATATATATATATATATATATATATATATATATATATGTATATATGTGTATATAAATATCCCCTGTTTATAGATCAGTCCTAATATAATTTTCAGGGCCTCAATAGAACACCTCACTTAAATGTGAAAGCTCAAGGCTACCTAAGGCATGAGTTTATTTTAGAACTTTGGGGAATGGAAACGGTATTCAAAAAGTGAAATATTTTTTATTTGTCTGCAGCTCTTGTAAGCTGCGAGATATGTCATCCATCACTATTTTTAATATTATTAATAAATTTTAGTTATTATTAATGAATAATTATTATTGTTTTTAATAGAAGAGACATCTCCGACCCTATTAATTATATATGTTTTAGATCTGCATTAAAAGCTGAGTTGATATAGACATGTATGCATGTCCACTTGCGCGCATGTCCCCATATCCGCATGTTCGCATGTCCGCATATCCGCATGTCGGCATGTCCGCATGTCCGCCTGCCTGTTCTATGCGAACTAGTTTCTCAGTTTTTCAGCTATCGTTATTTCTGTTCAGATCATATGTCGGAAAAGGCCGATCCGACCTTTGTGTCATATAGCTATCATAGCAACCGATCGGTAGAAATGTAGGTTCTGATTTGGATACCTTTTTTTTTTTTAAATTAAGATAATTATTAGCTCCAGTATGATCCTCTTATATGTGGAATATGTTTTCAACATCGGACCTCTATACCATATTGCTGCCATATTAAAGATCGCTCGGAAAGTAGCTGCTCTTATATCTGCAAAAGGGAAATGTCTTCAAGGGTATTAAGTCTTCGGCGTGCCGAAGTATTCCTACCTTCTCGATTCGTATGGTTTTTGACAAATAAAATGTTCATTTATTTCGAATGTATTAAAATGTAATGTTCAAATTGTTTGAAAAACTTTTATTCTTCAACTTTAACTTACCTTTTTATTAATTTATATTAAAGAAAAATGCTGTTCAAGTAATAAGGATCTTGAGTATGGACGACATCTGTATTTTAAAAATAATTTGAATAGTTTAGACAGTACAGTACAAACAATTCAGCTTAATTCGACTTATGCCTTGTGAGATTAATTTTTTGGTATAAATTAGCATGATAATTATGTGCCTATGTGCTCTGCACAGTAGCCAAATATCATATCATATCATAGCGTATCGTATCGTGTTACTCTATGACATTACTGTCGAAGAGATCGAGATTATGTAAATGCTATATAATTTA